ATTGAACTCTGGACCTTACACTTGTGAGGCAGGCGTCGGAACCACTGCCCTTGCATTAAACTTCTTAGTAAGAGTGAAGTTGTACTCTGGGAAGCTGAGACAGAAGAATCTCAAGCTTGGGCAACTTAGCAACCTAGCAAGACCCTATCTCAAAATACAAACTAAAAAAGGGCTAGGGATGTAGCTCAGTGTTAAGGCCTGGATTCAATCCCCAATACTGCCAAAAAAGAAAACAACAAAAAAAAGAAGTCACTCTTACCCTTTCTCTAGTGGGGCCCACAGGGTCTGGGGTGTCCTCCCCAGCAGTCCCCTCAGGAGGAATGGGGGGGCAGGAGGCCTGGGGGTGTCCTGTGGAGACTCGGGGAAAGCTCAAGGAGCTCACTCCCCAACCCCCCAGGAACCTGCCAGTACCTTCCTGGGGCTGGTGACAGCCCAGATTCCCCAGCAGGACTCAAGGCCCCTGTGAGGCACCTGAAGACCAGGCCCAGGGACAGAAATGGGGGGCTGCAGGCGGCCCACTGCAGTCCCTCCTGCCCAGCCACATCCCTGCCGCTGCCATGGGGTCCCTGCAGGTGAAAGGGCTCTCCCCTCTCCTACGTGCCCCACTGAACATTCTCTCTAACCACAGCCTTGGGGCACAGCCCACCCTGGCCACCAGCACCTTGGAACTGCTGAGGCAGCAAAGGTGACTCAGACGGGAGTGGAAACTGCACGCTGCTCTGGAATCCCCGCCTGGGGAGCCCCAGACCCCATGGGGCAGGAGGGAGCTGCAGGGCCAGGAAAAGGGAATCCGGGCGCCCTGGAGTCCCTTCCTCCCCAAGATGCCTCCTGTCTCCAAGTGGGTCTGGGAAGTCACCCGGGGCACCCCCAGACCTCACCGTGACAACACCCACCCGGCTTCTCTCCCGCTTCCCTGAGCTGGGGGCCTGTGTTGTGTGGGTCCCTCTGCCCACGGGCTCATCTGTCCCTTTTCCGGGGTTCCACCCTGCTAAGCCCTGCTGAGATCGCGGTGGCCCCGATTCCCTCATCAGACCCCAGCGCTTCCCATGCATCACCCAAAGCCACAAATGAAACGGCTCAGAATCAGCAGGTGGCTCCGGGGAGCCAGAACTGAACCCGGGATCGTCGGGCTGGGGGCAGGAATGGGCAGGGTCCTCTCCGCCTCCCCCACCGCGGCCTCCTACGTGGTCAGTTTGGCTCCGCAGGATTCAGCTGTCCCCTCTCATCACTGAGATTTTTCTGGCTCTCAACCGGGCTTCCACTGGGCCGGGCCGGACCCGCCGGGAGCTAACCCTAACCTCCTCTGTGGCCCACCTGCCCCGTCAATCTGATTCCCGCCGCATGGACTGTCAATCACAGCGCGGACCGCCCCGTATCAACGGCAGCCAATCAGCGCCTCCGCCACGCCCCCACCCCACCCCCGCGCCTTGGACCCGCGGCTCCACCTTTGTCATTGCTGCTCAGCAAGGCTGCTCTTCCTCGGTTTCCCCTCTGAAAAATGGAAACGTAGGGATGGCCGTGGTGGCACGTGCCTGTAATCTCAGCATTGTAGGAGGCTGAGGCAGGAGGATGCAAACTGGAGCCCAGCCTAGACAAGTTACAGTAATTTACCAAGACCTACTCTCAGAATAAAAAAGGCTGGGATGTGGCAGGGATTCTACCCCGTGCCTACTCCTGCGAGTTCCCCTAGGTGTCCTGGCTAGGTCAGGCCCTGCCTACCTGCACGCACCCTCCCCAGGCTCGTCCCTCCAGGGACCCCAGCCTGCGGTTGGTGAGTGGCCCTTCCAGTCAGGGAAAGTGGAGGGGCTCTGGCCAAGAATCACCTGTGGTGGCCCATGAACACCTGTAATCCCAGCACTGAGAGGATGAGGCAGGAGGATCCCAAATTTAAGCCAAGCCCAGCCCGAGCAACTAGCGATTTAGGAGACCCTGTCTCGAAATCTGAAAAAATAAATAAAAGGCTGTGGGCTGGGGATATAGCTTGGTGGTAAGACCCTGGGTTCAATCCCCATGTCCCACTCCCCTAAAATAAAAAAGCAACTCTGCCAACAGAGCAACAGCAGATCAGGGGTGTACTAGTTTGTGTTTGACCCGCGCTTCTGTGTGATCCGGCTCGGGGGACACAGGCCCACATGGTGCACATCTGGATTGTCCAGAGGTCTGTACTCAGGGTCAGCACCTCAGCCCCCAGCCCCTGCTGCCGGACCCTGGGCCAGCTGGCCAGGTGCAGACCTGGGCTCTAGGCAGGGTTCTGTCCAGGGCTCAACCACCGCCCACTGCAGCCAGCCTCCCTCCCTCCTGGCCTCCCCCACCCGAGCCCCCTCATCTCCACAACACACACAGGCTGCTCCGGCCAGGGCTGCATACTCGAGAGTTATTTTATTTTGCTCTTTCCAGTTTGAAGCTACTATCATGGGCGCTGAGAGTTATACAAATGACACTTACAAAAAATAAAAGACCAAGACACCCAGAGTGAGATGGACGGTGGCAGGGGGCTGGTGGGGGGCTGGCAGCCAGGAGGCCAATGGAGACCCCAGGGTACCCAGCTGGTGGGTGGGACACAGGCTCCATTCTGCCCAGGAGCACCAATCCCAGCAGGGCTGGGGCTGAGGCAGGAGGGTCCAGGGCTGGGGGTGATGGGAGAACAGGAGGGGGCCAGCTGGGGAGGTGGGCACAGGTGTCAAGACCCCCCAAGACCACTCACAAGTACAACCAGGCTTGCTGGGGTGCCTCCAACAGTAACACTTCATTAAAAAAAAATATATACTGATTTGGTCGTTTTCCGCTTCCAGTCAGGCCAGGGTGAAAGAAGACAGGCTCGGGGTGTCCCCTACCCCCGCCGGAATGCACAGGGCACAGACCCACTGGCTTCAAGCCAGGGAGCCCAGCAGGCCCCAGCAGAGTAGGAGAGGGGCTGTGGCCCCAAAAAGCACGCATGGTGGAGACAGGAGATTCCAGTTATGTGCCCTACCCCCCAGGTAGGGCTGGGCCACCCTCTCCTGGCCACTTCCAGGAAAATAAGGCTCAGAGTCGTCTGAGGTCAGAAGAAAGAGGTGCCAGCCTCACCCCATGGCAGAAAAGAGGGACCTGACATCCCCCCAAGGAAGGGCAGACCCACGGGGAGTGGGGGCATCCAGGGGCCCACAGGTGGGGGCGCCAATTTCTCTGGGGTTTCCAGTTTGAAAGGCAAGGGGCTGCCACCTGGCCGCCGAGGAGGAGGAGGGTTAGTGGAGGGGACAGCGGCCGCCGGGGCGGGGACCTAATACTCCCAGAGCGAGGTGGGGTCGATGGTCTCTGCGCAGGCCTTCAGGACACCGGCGTGGTCCCCTTTCAGGTAGCGCCCGCCCACCTTGATGGCCACCTTGTTGTAGTCACAGAACTCAAAGAAGAAGTCCACCGGGGTGTCGCTGCTGCTGGTGACGGAGGAGTCGTTCCCCACCATCCAGTACTTGCCCGTGGAGTCTGGGGAGGGAGACCCCATCAGCCAGTGCCCAGGACACCTCGCCCAGCAGGGGCTTCCTACTCTAGGGCTGAGGCCGCCTCCAACCAGCTTCTGGAACTGGCGGGTCCGTGTGCCCTCCCGCTGCCCTGCTGCGGTGCTGGACACACCAATGGGGTTTTTAAGTCCTTCATTCTTTTCGGATTTTACTTATTTTTTGTTTTTCTTGGTGCTGAGGATTAAACCCAGGGCCTTTGCACTGAGCGACATCTCCCTAACCCTTGTATATTTTTCATTTTATTGTGAGACAGTGTCTTGCTAAGTTGCAAAGTTTCCCAGGCTGGGCTTCAATTTGTAACCTTCCTGTTTCAGCCTCCCCAGCACTGGAATGGAAGGACTTCTGGATCCAACTCAGCACCTCTGCACTGTCGGGTTCCTCCCACCCGGGTTTCAGTCCCAGCTGTGTCCCCAGCCCTCCCCTCCCTCCTTCGCTGTGTAGGGCAGGCGGGCGACCACAGTGGATGGGCTGTTCCCAGTCTGGAGCTACATCCATCCCCTGGGGGTCTGAACTGGCCCTGAGCCAGGCCACAGAGGGCCAAGGTGAGCCCCAAAGCCCCAGGGGGCTCCCCACCGCCAGCAGAACCTGCCTTTAATATTGTAGGCGCCGTCGCTGAACTCCAGCTGGAAGACATCGTAGCTGGAGCGGTTGGCATCCAGGGTGCCCGTGACCTTGCGGCAGCCGATGAATCCGTGCTCGCCGCGGAACACGATGATGGGGCGGTTGATCAGCTTCATAAGGAAGAGCTCGGCATCCCCTGTCCAGGAAGGGACACTGAGCCTCAAGGCCGCCGGGTGGGGCTGAGCCACAGCCAGGATGTGGCTCAAAAGGGACAGTGCAGCTGGGCTGGATCACCCTGCAGCCAGCCCTTGGCAGGTGGGGCGGGGCCAGGCTGAACGGACACAGTGGGGCTGGGACCCCCAGGTGCAGTGGTACCAGGGAACAGAGGCTTGGGGTCCCCATGGCAGCTACCTGTGGTCTCCACCGAGGCGGCCAGCTGCCCGTTCTTCTTGGCGGTCACGAACTTGCCATTGGATGCTCGCAGTGTGATGCGCCGGTCACGCCACTCGATGTCAAAGTAGCAGCTGGCGTTCCTGAGGGTGGTGGGAAAGGGTCAGGGGGCCGCCGCGTCCCTGGGAAGGGCCAGCCTGAGCCTTGAGCAGGGTGGCGGGCACTCACTTGGTGGATGCGGTGGACTGCACACCCCCGGTGGCTGTCAGTGTCCAATACTTGCCCGTGTGGGTGCGGAAGGCGCACTTCCTGGTGTCGCGGTCGATCTCCAGCTGGAAGGTCTCCTGGTCGGTCTCCTCATCCTGGTTGGCCGACAGGTCCATACCTGCGAGAAGGAGATGTGCTGCTACAGAGAACCGGGTGGGTCACCAGGTTCTGGCTGGCCCACAGCCCTGCCCCACAGGCCAACGAGGGGACGGCGCAGGGACTCCAGCACGCAGCTCAGAGCCCTCAGCCTGCACAGCAGGGCCAGGACAGGACCCAGGCTGAGTCCCAGCCACGTCCACGCGCTCTGTGGGGCAGGAGAAGAAATCTCAGGGGAGTTATGCTGCTTAGCCTAGCATGTGAGAGGGCCTGGATTCCATCCCCAGCATCACACAACAAACAAAACAAAAGAAGTAGCCGGGCGTGGTGGTGCACGTCTGTGATCCCAGCACTCAGCAGGCTGAGGCAGGAGGATCACTGCAAGATTAAGGCCAGCCTGGGCTACATTAGTGAGTTTAAGACCAGTCTGAACAACATAGCGAGACCTTGTCTCAGAAAAAACAAAAACAAAGAAAGTCCCAGCTGGGCATGGTGCCACTGACCAGGAACTCTAGGACTCTGGGAGGCTGAGGCAGTAGGACTGCAAGTTGGAGCCCAGTCTGAGCAACTTGGTAAGGCCTTATCTCAAACTAAAAAATGAGAAAAGGGCTGGGGAAGACCTTGGGTTCAATCCCTAGGACCACAAAAAGGAAACAAAAGAAGTAATGCTTTCCAATAAATCAAGCGCAAAGCCTTCCTGGAGCCAGCAGAGGCCCCTACCATGGCCACCAGGACTTGATGTTAAAGATCAGCTCTTGCTCATTTATGTCGTGGTTATGTAAAGGATGGCCTTGTTTTTTAGGCACAGATGGAAGTATTTTAGGATAAAATGCCTGGTGTCAGGGATTTGCTTTAAATATAATCAAAACCACCACCCAAAGCCACAGATGGAGAGACGTCAGCCAACCATCACGAGGGGGTCGGAATATGGGGGCTTGTTACCTTCTCCTTCCTGCTGCCGCGGATGTGTGAAAGCTAAAACATGAGTGTGTATGTTCCTTTCGGAAAATTCAGAGGATTCAGGAAAGTTCAAACTGAGTCAGATGCATCCCTGGCTCCAGTGGAAACCCCCAGCTCTTCCACAGTCGAGAGCTCTCTCCCCAGATGTGCGTCAGTGAACTGTAACATCTGCATAGGTCTCCACGCCACACAATAACCTGATGGGCCTGGGGAAGGTACTGGGGACTGGACTCCATCTTCACACTCGGCTACATCCCCAACCCTTTTCAAATGGAAGACTGGGTGCCACTCAGTGGTTAAATCACCCAGGCTGGGCTCGAACTTGTGACCCTCCCACCTCAGCCTCCCAGAGTGCTGGGAGTGCAGCCGTGCAGCACCATGCCAGGCCCAGCTCTGCCATTCTACATCCGTATCCAGGTTCACGGCTCCAGCTGAGCCTGGGACAGAGCCTGGGACGGGCTCTCGGACTCTAAAGGAACAAATCTCCCTGTGGAGGTCACCACACCCTCAGGCACCTCGAAGTCCCTTTCTGAAGCTGGGACACCCATGGCGCCTGGCAGAGGAAGGCTGGCGGGCGTGGTGCCAACACCCAGGGGTCTGAAGGGTGCCGGCGCTGTCCTAACCCAACCGTGTCCCACATCAGTGCCCAAGTTGGGAACCCTCACCCCTAACCCCGCTCCAAAGAGGGGGCTGAGCCTGAGAGGGCACATGCCCTTGGGCCAAGGTCACACAGGAGGCCTGGAGGAGGCAGCGGGAAGACCACAGCCCTTCTTCCACCCACCTCCTATCTGTGTCCCTAGGGCTAGGGACACCCCAGGACACCCCAGGGCCACAGGTCATGATGGGGTCCCTCCTCTTGCAGGCCCCTGTCCCCCCCTCCCCCAGGGTGGGGCTGGAGCCATCAGCAGGAAGCTGCTCCCACCCGTAGGCCCAGAAAGCAATGCACAGCTGCGGGCAGCAGACCACACCCTGGCCACATGACACTGCCACCCACCGGGTGACCTTCAGAGGGTGACAGGAAGGGGCCAGACCAGAGGAAACGCCCCTCAGGGCCACCCCGGCATTGCAATAGATGACCCCGGGCACCCCAGGAAGAAGGGCAAGAGAGGCAGATAAGGAGGACGGAGGGACAGAAGCCAGCCCCCAACACCCTTGCAGATAAATAAGCACGGGAAGAGGCAGAAACACAAAGCCCTTCTCAGTATGTCGGGCTTTTCTTTTTACTTTCCTTGTTTATTTTTTATTTTAAGACAGGATCTCACTAAATCGCCCAAGCTGGCCTCAAGTTTGAGATAGTCCTGCCTCATCCTCCTGAGAATAACAGCTATGCCTCAACATGTCTGGCTTTGCATGAGGCTTCTGGTAACTGAGCTTTGGTAACTCAGAGAGTAGTCACCAGTGGACAGCATCAGCTTTGCTCCACCAGCAACTGGGTGACATTAACGCCACTGCCATCCTCCCTGCAGCCATCTGCCCAGCGCCTCAGTCCCCAGCCTGTTGTATCCAGTCCTGGAACCGGCCTGAGGAAGCCCTTGGCCAGCACACAGGACCAGCCACCCCTGGTGGGCACCTCCAGGGCACCCAGCCTCGCCTCCCACCCAGCCTGAAGGGAGCAGAAGGGGCGGTGCCCTGCCCCACAGCCCCTGCAGGCCCCGCCCCGAAGGCCACCCGCTCAGCCTCCAGCCTCAAATTGGAGCCCGTTACTATGGGAACAGGTTTTCTGCGGGATTTTTCTTTTCATCCACAGCAGCACAGAAAACCTGAGTCACTGGCTGAGAAGCCTGGCAGCCGGGGAGCGGGGACGCGGGGGCTCGGGGGGAGCGGGGGAGGGGCGCGCCCCAGCCCCCCCCCCGAGCCCTGGGGCGCCTCCCCGTGGGACTCCCGCCTTCCAGCTTCTTCCCAAGTGGCAGAGAGGGGGCACTTCACGCGCACACCCCTCACATCCTCCCTGGTCCCCACCCCTCACACTTCCCAATTCTCCCGGCTTGCTCTGCATAGGCGCCTCCAACACGGCCCAGCCCATAGGAAGGAAGGGGCTTGGAATCCTCTGCGGCCCTACCTCATTGCCCTCTCTTTCTAGCTAGCTCTTAAAACTATCAGGTCACTGCCAATCCCTCCACCGTCCTCAAACATATCATTGAGGTGCCTCAAGAGAACTCTTAGACATCCTACAAGGCCCAGCCTAACCAGGCCCTCTTCAGCCAGCCACCCTTGGAGTGACTGGGACAGGGCACTTCATGAGACAGGCTTCAGGCCAGGGCGTTGGGCCCCAGACGCGAGAGAGATGGCAGTTCGAGAGGACAGGAGTGGCAGAGGGTCTGGAGGGACCAGGAGGGAGATCCCGCCTGGGTAAGAGGTGCTCCTTGAGCCGACCCTGCCGGACGTGAGGCCTTCCCAGGCACAAAGCCTGGGGCAAATGGAACTGGGCACTTTACAGATGAGCAAACTGAGGCTGTAGGGAGGCAGCGTCTGCAGGGGCACCCCGCCCCCCCTCGGCCCAGCCTGCAGTGGGGCTGATTCCCATCCGGTACTGACTGGGCGGAGCTCCCAGCTTCCTCCTCCTCCTGGGCTGGAGGGGCCTACCGCCGGTCGGAGGGAAGGGACCGCCCCCTGCCACGCAGGCCTGGTCTCCAGCCACGCCCCCGCCCCATCGCACCCCGGGGGCCCAGCCCCTTCCCCAGGCCCTTTAATCTCCGGGATGAGCCAACCCTGACTCGCTCATTTCCGGCACCTCCTGCCATAGCAGCCTGAATCACAACCTGGTGCCCCCAGAGCTTCACTAGACCGGGCATCTGTCCGGGCTCGCCCAAAACACCCTCTGGCCCCCTGCTCTTTCCGGTCCCGAGGGCCACGGACAGCAAGCTCTGGTCTCCCCACTAATGAGTAGTGTCTGGCTTAGTGACCCTGAGGGTCCCTCCAGTCCAGCTCCCAGCCTCAGACATAGTTCTCAGACATAGTGAGTGGGCTTTCTCTGACCCTGGCTACCTCAGGGCCTTTGCACGACCTGTTCTCCCCTGCCTTCAACACCATTCCACATTCTAGTCACCGTTCAGGTCAGCTCAAGGGTCCTCCTCAGAAAGGGGCCCCACTTATCCAATCTGGGACCCCAAGCCCGCAAGTCCTTTCTGGACACCTCAGTCACATCCTCAAGATAATGCAAGCCCTCTCTGTTCACTGCTCAAGTCTCAACACATCCTCGCTGCCTGCTAAGCAAGCAGAAATTTCACCCCACCCAGCAGAGTTCAAACAGGCAGAGGGAGGTGACGCGCATCAAGGAGGCCATCGAGAGTTCATGGGGTCCTGAGCACCCCATTTTCTGAATCCTGTGTCCTTAGTACTCCACGTAGGGCAAGTGACTTGCATCTGTTGCCTTCACTCAGCAAGCACAGAACCCTACCCCAGCCTCCACCTTCGCCCCCACCGCCATGGGGACCTCAGAGGCCTCCAAGGAGCCCGCAGCCAGGGGGATGGGGTTGGGGAACCAGGGGGCCACTGCCGGGGCCTTCATCCAGCTTCCCCAGAGCCCGGGATCCAGGCTCCCATGGGGGGGGGACCCTCATGGGCCCCTCCAGGGGGGCTTCCGGCTGCAAACCGCCTCTGGGCTCCAGAGGAAGAGCTGCCGCCAGAGAGGCGGAGAGTCCTAGCGCAGGCAGGGGCTCCCGCTTCGGCGCACAGGCTGCTGGTCGGAAACGGGCCGTCGGCGGGAGGCCCTGGAGAGGCGGGTCGGGTTGCAGACAATTGTTCCCGCCCAGGCCCCTGAGACGGGTTCACTCGAGGGCAGGGGATCCCCGGGGAAGAGGGCTGAGGTCTCCGGGCGGGCGTCGAGGCCGCCCTCGGACGCCGGCACCGCGGGGCACAGGGCGCGGAAGGAGGCGCGGGGCGGGGTGCCTGGCGCCTCGCCATCCTCGCCACGCTGCGGGCCGCCAAGGCGCTCACAGGGAAGCCACCCCCGGGAGAACTTCAGGCCAGGGTCCCGGGCCGGGGACCCCACCGGGTGGCGGCGTGGGGGGGCTCCTCCGCCCCTCCCCGGGGCGACCCTCCCCCGCCCCACCGCATCTGGCTTTCCAATCTGCAGGGACCGAGCAGGACAAAGGGGCCGAGGGAGGGCCCAGCCGCGGCGACCCGCCCCCCTGCTCACAAAGGCCGCGGCCTCGCGCGCGGGGCGGGGGAGGGCAGGCACTCGGAGCCCCGCTCCCCACCGCCCAGCAACGGGGGAGGCGCAGAGAGCAGGAGTGGGTGGTGGAGGCGCACCGGGCCTGATCAGAAGCCCCTAACCGCCCCCACCTCGCCAGCCAGGGGCGGTAGGGGGAGGAAGCCTGGTGCCAACAGTGGCCGTTGCCTCCGCCGCTAGGCTAAAGGCCTGCGGAACTGGGTACCTGCACCAGGTATTGGGCGAGGGGCGTCCCCTCTCCAAGAGCTGGGGCAGCGGATCTGCGGGATCAGAGCGCGTGGGGAGAATTCAGACCCGGCAGGGTGTTGCGCGTACGACGGCCCCTGAGCTGGGTTTCGGGGGCCCTGGAACCCCAGGCCCTGGCGAGGCGGGATGGCTTGCGCGCCTAGCGGGGCCACACGGGATACTGAGGGCCGAAGCAGCGCCGCGGGGGAGAAAAGGGCGGGAGGCTGCGAGGATGCGCTTTGTGCACGGCCCGGAAGACGCGCGGGGCGGCGTCCCCACTCACCCTGGCGCGTGGACACGTTCCTCTCGTTGGCCGCCTGCAGCACGACCTGGGCGCAGCTCTGCTCCAGGGCAAAGAGCTCGTCCTTGCCCACCTTGGTGGCCTTGCCCGCCTTGAGCGTGCCGCTGGGCCCGGATGGCGCCAGGTAGCGGCCCTCGCAGTCGCGGAAGGCCACCTTGCCGGAGCGGAACTCCAGCGTGTAGCCGGTGGCGGGCTCGGGGCGGGCCACCAGGCGGCCGTCGTGGCGCAGGAAGCGGTGGTCGGAGGTCTGCACGCTGTAGCGCTGGTCCTGGAAGGCCAGCGTGATGAGCGAGTCGACGCCCCAGGGCACGTCGCGGTCCACCGCAATCTCGTCGGCCGGCCGCGCGCTCAGGTGCGCGTAGCGCTTGCGGGTCAGGCTGTAGATGTTGACCTGCGGGTGCATGGCGATGTGCACGCTCCACTTCTCGGCCGGCGACACGGTCTGCGCGAAGCACGACAGGCGGTCCTCGGTGCCGCCAAAGTAGCGCCGGTGCGCCTCGGACTGCAGCGACCAGCGACCGTCGTCGTGCGCCACGATGAGGAAGCGGCAGTCGGAGCCGGGCACCTCGCGCTCGCAGGTCACGTTGCCATCCTTATCGGCCGCCAGGTAGCGGCCCAGGTGGCTGCGGAGGCACACGGCCGCGCTGCCCGCCTCGTCAGGGGGCTGCTCCAGCGTCCAGATCTGCTTCTTCTTCAGGCTGCTGGCCGACGCGTTCACCTTGAACCCGAACGCCTCGGCCGTCAGGTACTTGTTGCCGCAGTTGATGAGGCCGAACTGGATCTGCACCGCCTCGGTCGTGCCGTTGGCGGTCATGGTGGCGGCCGGGAGGTGGGTGGCGGTCCCCCGTGGCGCCGCCCTGCTCCTTTGTTCCACGGGCCAGGCCGCGCGCGCTCCCTCCGCAGCGCTCCACAAAGCCGGCCCGCGGCGCCCGGAATTTTATAGGCGAGGTGACGTCAGCGCCGCGAGACCACGCCCTCCAGGGCTCTGCGGGCGGGGCGGGGCGGGGCGCGGTCCTGGGGGTCGCGGGAGGGTCCCCCGCGTCCTCCTGTGCGTGCACCGTGGGCCTCCGCAGCCCCCCACCTCCGCCCGCCGCCGCCTGCTCCCCGCGGGGCCGTCGCCCCACTCCCCGCTCCTGCCCACAACCGCTCAGCCCCCCACGCTGGGTGGAAGAACCAGACTGGCGAGGACCTAGGCCAGAGATCACCGGGCAGATGGGGTCTGTGGAGGTAGGGTCCAGGGCGCCCGGGCAGGGCCTGCAGGGAGCCCGACAGCCTGGGAGTTGAGCGCCGGAGGCGGGACGGAGACAGGTTCACACTGGAGAGGCCCTGCAGACCCCAGCCCCGAACTTCCTTCCTAGGGCCGCCCTCCCTGAAGGCCACCCGGCTGGCTCAATGGTCTCTGACAAGGACGAAGTCAGTGGCCAGTGCCCTCATTCTGGTGATGCACAGTCCACAGGGGTCTGGCCCACCAGGCCATGGACTGCAGGGCAGGAGTCCCGTGGCCATTTAGGAGGGGTCTTAGTAGGCCAGGCTAGGCCGGGCCAGCAGGGCAGAGCCAGGACTCTTCCTTCCCCCGGAAAAGTGCCACCTTCAGGTGCAACCCTGGCTGCAGCCCCCCCCCCCAGGACCCCCGCTGTCCCTCCTCCTTCCTCAGAGGGGACACCCCTACACCTCCCACCCACCCGCCACCCCATCTCAGAACACTTCCCTTTTCAGAGCCGCTGGCAAGCCCAGGACTTTTCCTGGGACATTCCCCACATGCCGGCAGGCCCCGGAATGCCAGCATGACCACTGGCTGCCCACAGGATCTGGGCCTGGGCCCTTTGCAGCCACAGCCTGGGGCTCTGAGCTGGCCAGTCCACACTGGCCTCCGAGCGAGCCCTGCTGTCCACAGCCCCCGCAGGGACTTCCCAGGAAGAGCAAAGACCCTGTCTCCTCACCATCAGAAACCAGGTGGGCTTTGACCCCACCCAGGCATGCAGTAGCATCCCCTCTCACAGAGCCCACCTTGCCACTGGGAAATCCACATTTGGTCCCTTTAGCAGGACGTGATGGCACACACCTGTAATCTCAGCACTCTGGTAGGCTGAGGCAGGAGACTCCCAAGTTCAAGCATAACCACTCAGCGAGACCCTGTCTCAAAAATAAAAACAGGATGGGGCTAGAACTCAGTGTGAAGGGCCCTGAGGCTCAGAGGAGGTGGGGGGATAAGGCTGGCATGGCTGCCACCTCCCTTCTGGTGTCTGCTGGTGGCACTTCCTGCAGCTGTGCTGCTTGAGGACCTGGAGGGGCAGGAGCCAGGCCCAGGGCTCTAACCCCAGGCAGGCCAGGGTGGCAGCACCCAAGACCTCAGTGGGCAAGGGAGGCAGCTGGGCTGGAGCATGGGCTTTGGGTCCAGACTCATATCTCCACCAGTTTTGTTCTGAAAGGGACCTAAAAAGAGCCCCTGCCTTTGGGGAGCAGGAGAAGGGACTAAAGGCCTTAAAGACAGAAGCCTGGGCTGGCAGGATTCAACGTTCCAGGCCGGAAGCTCTTGGGCAAACCAGGGCAAGTTGATGACTCCCCTCATCAGTAATTAAACCAGGGCCCGGTGTGTGCAGGGCTCAATAAATGCCAGCCGTGTGACTATTCACTTCAGTGCATTACCAGAGGGGCCACGGGCACAGTCCACTCCAAGTTTGAGGACTGGGTGGGGGGATGGACACCAAGCTTTCTGCCTATTTGTGGATTCAGTGAGAATCAAAGCCAGGCATGGTGGTACACACCTGGCACCCCAGCACCATGGGAGGCTGAGGCAGGAGGATCGCAGGTTTGAGTACAGCCTGCAAAAGACCTTGTGTTGAAATAAAAAAGACTAGAGATGTAGCTCTTGGCAAAGGGGTTCAAATCTTGGTGACAGAGAGAAAAAGAGAGGGAGAGAGGAAAATGGTATGGAGTGATGGGGGAGAGGCCAGGGAGAGGGGACCTTGGATTCTCCAGGGACAATTTCCCAATTTCCGTCAAGTGAACAAAACAGAACCTTAGATGTTGGGGAAAACCCAGCCTGGGACTTAGAGGGAGAACATCTGCGGTTCCCTGAGAAGAACCGAGGTCCATTTCAGCAGATGTGCAGGCAGGGCCTTCACTGTTCTTATCATTTCCGCTTTGTCCTTTGGAACAGACAATACATTTGCACAGCTCAAGTATCCAAGGCCATAAGAAGACCTTCATCCACCCAATTCCCACCCCAGCCCTTGACAGTTGTGGTTAGAGCTGTTCTTTAAATGAGGAGAAGGAAACATGGACATATATTCAACTCTGCTTTGTTTTATTTTGTTTTATTTTTCTAGGGTTCTGGGAGTTGAACCTGGGGCCTTCGCACTGAGTGACATCCCTACCCCTTTCTTTTTGTCTTGTTTTGTGACATCATCTTGGTAAAGAGCCAACTGGGCAGGGTGGTGCACACCTGTGATCTCAGCACTCTGAGAGGGTGAGGCAGAAGGATCCCAATTTCAAGCCCAGCCTGGGCAGTTCAACAAATTACCTAAACCCTACATTAAAAATAAAAAATTAAAAAAGGGTTGGGGATAAAGCTCAGTAAAAAGGCCCCGGGTTCAATCTCTTATACCACAAAAAAAGTCCTCCCTGCTCCACACCCGGCACCTTTGCCTGCGCCCCAGCCCAGCACTCATGGTGTCCAGTGTGGAAAGAGCCACCTGCCCCCAGCAAGTCACAAGGTGCTTTCTGCAGGCACCACCCCGGCCCCTCCAGGGAAGATGGGGACATGGACATGGTGTCCTTGGGGCCCACGGGAAGCCAGATGCCACCTGAGCCACCCTGGAATGAGAGCACGGCCCAGGGAACAGGGCAGCCTAAGCCGTGCCCGCAGGAGGCCACCAGGAGGGGCACTGGTGTCGCAGTCACCCCAAGCCAGGGCTGCTTCCACCCACCACATGCAAGCCTCAGTTTCCCTTCTCTCAAAGGGTGATAGGGAGGGAGTGCACGCCTGTGATCCCAGCCTTTTCGGAGCCTGAGGTAAGAGGGTTCCAAGTTTGAGCCCAGCCTGGTCAATTTAGCAACCTAGCAAGACCCTGTATTAAAATAAAAAATTAAAAATAAATGGGGGTTGGGTGTGGGGATTTAGCTCAGTGGTGCCGCCACCTGCCTCACAAGTGCAAGGTCCCAAGTTCGATCCCCGGTACCAAAAATAAAAATAAATAAAAAATAAAAGGGGGTGTAGTTCAGTGCAAAGGCCCTGGGTCCCAGCTCTGTACCACTAAAAAAAATTTTAAAAGAAAAGCAGAGCTGCCCCAGGCAAGTGCAAGAAAGCAGAAATGTCGTCCACACAGATCTCCCAGATGTCCAGGCTCGGCCCTCCCCAGACACGCAGCCTTGTGGCCCGCGGCCTGTGAATGGCATCTTTGTCACTCTGTGACCACACCCCATGTGGCCCCTCCGGGCAGCCTGGTACTGCCAGGCCTCCTCAGGGGAGCAAGTGGGGCGCAGGAGCCTGGCTGACCCAGGTGCTGCAGCCAGAGCCCAGCAGGGCGGACGGAGCTCCTCCCACTGCCCGGCTCTGTGGGTCAAAGCACAGAAACAGATGCCTGAATCTGGCCCAGCTATTAGGAAGAATGTAGTTTTGGGGATCCCAGGCTTGTGGCTTTTAATAAATTTGCAGAGGCTTTGGGGCAGGGGATGAGACAGGTCTTGCTATGTACCCAGGCTGGCCTCCAGCTCACAGTGATCCTCCCGCCTCAGCCTCCCAAGTGCTGGGATTACAAGTGTGTACCACCATGTCTGGTTTACTTGTTATTTTTTTTGAGACAGTCTCACTAAGGCTAAGAATTGCAGACATCTTCAGCCTTCCCCTCAACCTGGGCCCTCACTTGTGCCCCTGGGGGAGGCTGGAACCACACCTGCAGCCCCCTCAGATCTGCCCTGGGCAGCAGAGTCCTGGGAGGGACCCTGGGAGCAGGGAGGTGCAGAGCCAGGTGTGCCTGGAAGGAGGGAGCAGCAGCACTGGGCCTCCCATTTCTCCTGGTCCTTAGGCCCCAAGGCCGTCACCACCCAGGGGCAGGACACTGCCCTCACCTGGCTGTCACCCTCCTCACCCTGTGGCAGCCTCTGGTCCCACTCCGGCCTGGTGTCTACACAGGGAGCCCACGGCGGCCAGCACTTGGCAAGCACTTGGCTAATTAAGAGGACATTAGCACCCTGGGCAGAGCCGGGCTCCGGCCAAGACGTCTCTGCCAGGAGAGGGGCCGTGCCTGGTGCCAGCCCGGTCCCCTGGAGGCCCTTGGAGAGCGGGCAGTCAGCACTGCCCTCCTGGCTCTGCCTTGGCCACATCTGCCACTCCTGCTGCCCAGACCTGTCCCTCACAAAGGACACAAGTCTCAGGGATGAGAATCAGTCCGAGGTGCCCCATTCCTTTGCCCCCCATTCATGGGGGAAAATAACAACTACAGCCATGGGCATGGCTGCTGAAGAGCCCAGACTTCAGGGACAGTGGGGAGACTCAGGATGTTCCTGGTGGGGCTGGGCCAGAGTCACTGTTCATCAGTGCCATGCTGGAGTCCGGCCCTTCTGCGCCCCACCCCGTGTGTCCAGAATGCCTCACAAGGGCCCCAGGCCTGTCCCCCTGGGACCTGGCCTGGAAGCAGTCTAGGGCACGCCTGGAGGGGACACCGAGGTGCAGGCTATTCGGGTCCCCTCAGGAAGCCCCGGGTACCTGTGTGGGAGACACTGCCACAGGCCCTGCAAACAGCTGCCCCCTCCACCAGCTCCTCCCCGGGAGTTGCACAGGTTGGACACTGCACCCAGGCCATGTCGGGGTGAGGAAGGTTGTGCTTCTCAGGGCTGGCGAAGGAGACACAGAGCCCCAGCCTGCTCTGGTTCACAGGAAGGCTCTAACCAGACCAGCAGGGTTCTACTCTCACCTCTTTCC